CCCACACAGCTGCTCCCAATAGGCTGCTTTGCAAGGAAAAAGGAAGAGGATGTTTAAGGTGACGGGAAGACTCCAGAGGGCAGGAGCCAGAAACTGTGAGGACGGTTCCTGACTTTGGGTCCTAACAGAGAAACATCCCGCATTTCTGGGGACAGGTGGCTCTTCTGTGCCTTTACTTTCTCCACACTTTGACCTGGAGAGTGCTTGTGGTTCCTGCGTTTCCCCATCAACTCAAGCCTCCTACTCTTCTGTTGTGTTTGCCTTTATTTATCCCCATAGCAACACTGTAAACAAAAAGGAGCCATCTAGATACCATAAGGGGTTATCATTTTTTTTTTTGTTTGTTTTTGAGATGTCACCTTTGGCCCTGAAAGTGTAGGTATTACATGTATTTAAAGCAGGCTTTCAGGACAAGAAGAGTGGTAACTTCCTTTTCATTCAGAGGCAGTTGGGTTGAGAGGAGCCGTGTGGAACAGCTCCACTTCAGGATGGAACTTGCCCAACCTCATGCACACCTGGAGCTGACTTGGATGATATTCCACATTTTGATCTCACTTTGATAAGCGATAAGAATTTGGGGGTTACGGTCCAGTGAGATGGCTCAGTGTGTGTGCTGGATAGTTTTATGTTAACTAGACACAAGCTAAAGTCATCTGAGAGGAGGGAACCTCGATTAAGAAGATGCCTCCATAAAATTGGGTTATAGGAAAGCCTGTGGAAATTTTCTTAGTGATTGACGGTGTTGATAGTGGTGGGGTAACCCACTGTGGGTGGTGTCAACCCTGGGTCTAATAAAGAAAGCAGACTGAGCAAGCCATGAGGAGCAAGCCAATAAGCAGAGCCCCCCCCCCCCCCGCTCCCCCCCAAGGCCTCTGCTTCAGTCGCTGCCTCCAGGTTCCCACCTTGTTTGAGTTCTTGTCCTGACTTCCTTCATCGATGGACTACAACATGGGAATGTAAGCCAAACAAATTCCTCCCTCCCCGACTTTCTGTGGTCTTAGAGTTTCATCACAGCAATAGCAACTCTAACTTAAGACAGTGGGTAAAGGCATCTGCCACACAAACCTGGCAACCTGAGTTCGGTTCTTAGAACCCATGGTAGAATGAGAATTTCGCCCCCTGAAAGTTGTTCTCTGGCCTCTACATGTGTGCTGTGGCATGCGTGCATCCATACTAGCATATAAACATCACACACATACACACACACACACACACACACACACGCGCGCACACACACACAACACACACAAATACATATACTAAACAAATACGTTAATAAACAGAATTTCTGAGGCCTTGGGAGAGAGTGTGAATTTTTTCACATGAGTGTAGTGTAACTCACTAGTGTCCAGACAATGAAGTATTGGAGCCAATGTTCTAGCGTGGCCTGATGATCCTCATATGTTGTTGATGTCCTTGTGTAGTCTTGACTGAACAGGGCTGGTCTCTGTAACTGTTGAATCTTATAGAAATGATGGGACAAGACTTTAAAAGCCAGGAAGTGCAGCTTCCGCTTGCTCCTCTCACATCACTGCTCTATCGGGCAGTCCTGTGGAATCATCTATTTGCCCACCACATGAGTGAGTCATCTTGTGAACAACCGAAAACCAGGAAAGCCTTTAGATGACTGCAGACTGGGCTGACTTCTCAGTTATAGCTGGAGGAGGGGTCCTCCATGTCAGAACCACCTAGTCCAGGCTATCCCACATTCCAGGCTCTACAAAATTACCAGAAGCCACTGTCTTAGGATCTTTTATTTCGCAGCATTGTATAACTATTAAAAGTCCTGCAATCAACTGATACAAACTGGAGAACTTTTGTAGCTCTTTCTGGCATTTTTATCCTAGCGTCTTAGTACCACTTTTCCTGATGATTAATCAGAGGTGGAGAGGGGGCTGGAGAGAGTATGAAAATCTCAAGATGACTTTTTCTGTAGTGTTTTCCTTCCTTCGTCCTCATACAAACACTGTAAATGAGAAGGAGCTACTTAGATATATTAGAGCTTATCATTATTTATTATTATTATTATTATTATTTTGGTTTGTTTTGAGAAGTTACCGCTGGCACTGAAGATGTATGGATCATCATCGGTGTGTGTTTAAAGCAGGCTCATTTTGACAGGAAGTCTTTTCTAACGATTGGACTATGGAATATTTGAGAGATTGGGGGTTTGGGCACCGCTCTTCTTGTGGAGAGAATTGCCCGCCCTTTGTAATGGGTTGCAGATCTGTATGCCACTCACTGCATGGATAAGAAACATGGGGCCAGAAAGCATAACTAATCTTTCTAAAGCCAGTCCTGGCTCCCAGGCCAATTAGACGATGTTGATTTCCATTTGTGCTTTGTTGTTATTATTGTTTTATTCCCCCCCCCCACTCCTTTTTTGGTAGTTTCAAGTGAAAATAATTCCATCCAGTGAAGGCTAAATGCTTTCTTTTTATTATGCTGAGCTGGGTGTGGCTGCTTGATGTTGGAACAGACATGAAAATTTTATTTTATAATTTTGTATATCCCCTGAGGCAATGCTCTGCCTGGATCCTTTGAAACTGCAGGAAATAAATTACCAGTGGGCTCCGGTCCAAGATGCGATGATGTAGGTTACAATTCTGATTGGAGTAGGACCCATTCCCAGTGCATAGGCCATGTGTGAATTTATATAGACGCTTTTCCTGCTTTAAAACCGAGTACCACTAAGCTTTTTAAAACAGCATTCTGCTTTGTGGCTGGTAAAAAGGCTTTTACTCAAGAGTAGGATGTAATCGCAACACTTGGGTTTTTCCTTGAACTTTGTTCCTGATGGAGTATGGCCACTTTCGTTTTGAAGTGGTTTCTCTCTAAATACTTAGATGGGTTTTGAGGAATCTGTGGCCTCTCCTTTACCTGCTTGTGCATTTTGTTCACCAGGTGAGTACCATTATGTTTTTTGTAAAATATGCTGGATGTTTTTATTCAGTTCCGTAAGATTATTCTATGTTTGATTTCGTTTCGGTACTTTATTATTTATCTATCTGTGGTTCCAGGCACCCTGCTGGGGCCTTGTGTCTGCTAGGCAAGCATTTCTTCTACAGTCCTATATTCTCAGCTGATAGTTCATGTGACTTTAAGCATTCAGAGCCAAGTTAGGCAGAAATCAAGATGCTTAACAGTTTATTTTTCCCCTTTTATGTGAGATTTGCTTCCTGTTGGGTGTGGGATCTTCGCCTAATGATTCACTTTTGTTGTCTGCTCTTCTGAGAGTAGACATTATTAAAATGGTCAGCTTGTGTTTTCAAATAATTACAGATAGTATAGCATTTAGAAACTGTAAGCTTAACAGTGAAATTATCATTGTGTTCCTATAGAATTTTGGTAGTAAGTTATACCTGTGTGTGTGTGTGTGTGTGTGTGTGTGTGTGTACATGGTTGTACATGTTCATGTATGCATGTATGTGTATATATGTGAACACATGTATATGGAGGTCAGGGGTCAATTTTGGGTGTCTTCCTCAGTTTCTCTCCATTCTATTACCCCCTTTCCTACATAAAGTGAATTTAAAATTAAGTGATCTGGTTAGGTGGCTCATTTTTTTTTTTTTACTTAGAAATTTCTGAAATCTTTAGGGCCAACTTATTTCAAATGATACAACACATTTCAGTTCCTAATCGTCCTAGTCACACTGCCTTTTGCTGAGACATCCTGGAACAACCTCCCACATGCACAAATAGTTTGTTGTTGTTGTTGATTGTTGGTGTCCCTCCCTTCCTTGGCAGGCAGCGCTGCCTTTCTCTGGTCACACTTTCTCTTGCACTTTTCTGAAGTCCCCTTACCCTCCGAGGAACCTAAGTGGCTGAGGTGGCCTGCTCTCCTCTTTTTATTTTTCCCTGATCTTCTCAATTATCCCGGCTTTGCTGCCTGTGCCTAGTAGGAAGTTCTGCCTTCTCCAAGCGGCAGATTGTCTTCTGGTCTGTGGAGGGAAGGAGGTGGGTGTGGCTGCAGGGAGGCCCACACCACAGAGGCGGTGTTACCAGTCAACCTAAGTGGACAAGCGTGTGCTAGCATGCAAGCAAGACATTCCCCTGCCCACAACCCCAGCAAAGCAAAAGTAAAGAGTCCACATGGAGTCACCAGGAACTCAGCCACACAAAGTACTTTTCTCTTTTAAGAGCAGTAAAGGGTGATGCCAAAGCTAATCCTAGTAACCAGTATGTGTGGTTGCGATGCGGAGCTCTGAAAATAGAATATATCGCGGTCTCGCAGCAGCTTAGCATAATGGCAAGCATTGGTTTGTGAACCAGGGATTGGGGTTTTGAAATTAGATAGGAGAGCAGGCTTGGAGGTGGGGGATAGGTTTTCAGTTTTTTTTTTGGAGGCAGCTCTTCAGACAGGTGCAGGGAATGAGTAATATGCCACTCCCCAATGGTACGGTTCAGCCAATAAGCACCAGGCTTCTCCTGGGCCCTATAGCATGGTCTCTGTGCCTGTCACGAGCTGGCTCAGCAACCAAACCCAGATTCCAGGTGTGGTATTCCACAGCCGTTCTGTAATTTGTAATCATAGAAACAGAACGTTCCTCCTCTTAGTTCTTCCCTGCCAACAGTTTCTGGGTGGGTGAATGTCAGTAGCTGGAGTTATTTTTAAAGAGGTGAAGCTTGCCGTGCGAAGCTGGGAAGAGGGCGTTTGTTTGCAGAGCCGAGCTGACATCAAAGTGTAGATTACTGCTCACTGGCTAGGCGCTTGTCCTATAACAGGTAATGTTTAACGTGCCAGTCACAAAGATCACAGAAACAGTGTATGCTCGGCCATGAGACACACCACTTTTTATGCTCTGGAAGACTGAAAGGCTATACGTGTCCACGGACTTTTTTTTTTCCTCTCAAATACACTTATGCGCTGTTCTTGCCACCGCCTCTTTGGCTGACTATAATTGGACTTTGAAGCTGGGAAGTTGTATCATAAAAATTGGTAACCTTTGTCTGAGAGCAAGCTCAGCTAAACAATCACTTTCCAATTCTTTTCACAGGATAACATAAACGTTTTTTTGAAAGCTTGTGAACAGATTGGATTGAAAGAAGCCCAGCTTTTTCATCCCGGGGATCTACAGGATTTATCAAATCGAGTCACTGTCAAGTAAGTTTCACTAGTGTGTTTTACGTGTATAATGTGTCACAGATAAATGTAATAAATAGGTATATATTTTAAAACTGGAGGCTTGCAGCTTAATTGAAAATAATTGCGGAGAGATTTTTGCGATTACAGAACGATCTCTCCTCTCTCTGTCTCATTCCAAAATAGACTCTTTAAAAAATGGCTTGGGGACCGAGAGGGTGAAGCCAGCTGTAACTGATACTGTGTCGTGATCTTGTTGTAAATCTCTGTACTGACCAGAGTGGCGGTTTGTAGTGTAGTATTTTCCAGCATGATCGTGTTTGGTTGCTAATGGTGAGGATTTTCATTATAATTATGGGGTGAATTTAGAAGCTATTACTATAATTTAAGGTAAAAAAATAATTAGTTTGAAGTAGTTTTTAGGTAGTTGGAAACAGGACGTGATTGTTAACAGAAAAATGACAAGAAACAACTGGGAAAAGCCACTTGTCAATATTTGGAAGGACTACCTGCCTAGGACCAAAGACCTCATTGATTGTGGTTGCTTTTAAAATAATGAACCTTTTCCCACTGTTTTAATACTTTGGATGAGAAGGTAAAAGTGGATGTGAACACACATCTGCGGCTACTCTGTTGGAGTTTATGTGGGCAGTAGTGCTCATGTGTGAGTGAATGGTTTCAGGAACGTGGTTTTAAGCTGTGACAAGATATATTTTTTTCCTACACGTCTAATCTGCATCCAGGAAATCACTAATACAATTGTGCCACCAGGAGAATGTGACATGGAAGTTATATAATTTTGAAATAATGCTTACCTCCTTATCCGGCTCTTGAACTTAATTAACATTTTTCCAAGTGAGGAAATGCTTTTGTTCTATCTGTAGAAATAGTGAAAATGGAAAACTGCGTCTATGCTTTAGATAAAGGTTATGCACTTAATGCTCAGTATTGAAGCTTTAGTCATTAGTAAAATCAACTATCGAATCTTAAACAGGGCCATTGTTTCATGAAGAAACCACAATGCCACAGGTATTTCCAATAGTCCGCATTGTCTCCTAGCAGTCTAACCTAAAATCCCAAGCAGCAGGGGATGCTTTAAAATCGGACAGCAAATATTTCAGAGGAACAAACTGTCCCGCACCGACTCACCTCTCTCTAGCATGTTTTCCCAACTCCACAGCAGTGATATGTACCTGGAAGGGGAGTCTGTCCATTTCTGTTGAGTTGAAACAAAGCTCAAATCCCAAGTTTTGCTACTGAAAATGCTTATTTCTGCCATATACAAGGTCCTTTTAACTTCCATTCAAAAGTGCATTTGTTTAATTTCCTTTCCTAAGACCTATCTGGGCAAAGAAACTTTAGCCTTCAAACTGTTCTTTCCCTTAAGCTGGTGATGCGTATTAAGGCCAAGCGAATTCCCCTCTACAATCATATGGCTTTGAACCTCGGCAGCCTATGCGTGAGAACTAGGCGAAACATGTTTGTTGGCCCCTAATTTCAAGGGTGTTGCATGTAGGGCTTGCCCAGAGCCGCTTTCAGGAGTGGTTGGGTCTAAAAGGTTGACAAGAAATTAGTTTCTGGGCTCAGCCTTCAGTGAAATTTACTTACTGACAAAGTGAAACTGGGCTTGTGCGAGGCTGGCAGAAAACCTGTTGGAGTGGAAACCACAAGCCTGTCTGTCATTGCAAGGTGTGCCTCGGTCAGGGTGAGAGCTCTAGCCGCAGCTCTGAATCTGCTGGAGAACTTTCCATGCTTGTGTCTTGCCGGGCCATCAAGGGTGAGCTCTGGGTCTACTGTAGTGGGAGGCTCAGGCCCTCCCGGAAAAGATTGAAGATCACTGGCAAATGACTTCCCTTGTGCTTTGAGAAGGAACTTTTCGTTAAAGGAAGCAGGTTTAAAGAAAGGCAAATAAAGAGAAGTGTGGCTGTTAGTTTTGGTTGTTATGTAACGTGCAGATTCCTGTAGGTCAACTCTTGTCCTATCATTATTGTAAATTAAAGGACTTGGCATCGATTAGATCAGTGGTTCTCTTGTGGAGGCAGTTATCCCCCCCTGGGGACATTTGGCAATGTGTGGAGCCATTTTTGATTGTCATAGTTGGTGTGGGGTGCTACAGGCACCTATTGAGTAGGTCACGGTGGTACTCAGTGCCCTGTAGCCCATAGGACAGACTCCGTGAGGGAGGGTTTTCCTATTCCAGCAGGAATACTGCTGGGGTTCAGAAATTCCGATGTAGACATAGAAGTCCCTCTTTGCCAGTAAAATAGCCACAGGGAAATGAAAGACTCTGACCGGACAGACTTGTGACACTACTATGATGTCACTTCATGTTTACTGTCATTGAATAACTGCATTTCTGTGATAGTATGTTTATTTCAATGGCAAGGCTCATTGTGATTTGTCTGAGAGTGTGAATGTGTGTAGTATTCTTGAGATTGTTGTGCTCATCTGTAGACATTCAATTTAGCAAAACTGTAGTAAGCCATTTGATTATTTTAAGTGTGCTGCCATTATTGAACCATTCAGGCCACATCTAATTGCTTACAGACCTCTGCTGGCCTTGGCTTCTCATGCAAGGTAGCCATGGTATACCAAGAGAAAAGAGGAGCAGTTAATATACTCTGTGTTGTGGAGCAGGAGGCGTTTTTTGTTGGTGGGTGGAGGAAACATGTACACTGGGCACATTGAGTGTGGGAGAATTGAGTGTTTGAAAGTGAGCAGAGAGAACAGAAGCAGTTAAAGAGCTGGTGGCAGTGACTGACTGCAGGTATCCACATCCTGGTCCATTGTTTCTAGTAATTTGTGACTTCAAATTCAATTCGCCATAAATGTCCACCAATGAAACAGAACTAGAATACTCTTTCTGCCTCCGTAATTGTACACCGTCACATATGATCTAGTTTCTTCGGGTATTTTGCTTTGTAGGGAGAACTAGTTTGGAGTTTTTCAAGTACATTTGCATGATTCTATTCATTTTGGTATTGGGTCTTATTAATAAATCAGTAGGATCCATTTATAGTTTTTCTTCGAAAGGGTTAATAAATAAACTTAGGATTCAGTTTCCATGAATGACAGGTGGAGAACGAACCCAATATGTGACCATGAAACTTAGCTCATATCATTTTAACATTTTAACCAGTTTACTGAGTATCCACACTGAACTGAACATACATAATCCATGGGGAATGAGTGATGAGGCACCCCCTACCCAGTGACCACAGAGGCATACTACAGCACACTGGGAACTCCCCACAGCAAGGGCCAAGGTCTTTGTCATGATATCTGGTCAGAAAGAGAGGCACAGAGTGACTGATTCTATTAGAAATTAACTCACCAGAGAAGTCCTAGATTTGTCTTATAGGACTTGGAGTTGGTGGCAAGGTCAGGCTGAACATTTAAAAGTTTTAACAGTATATGTTTAACAATTTCTGATTTATAAGCTAAAGCATATTTAAAACATTGCTTAGAACAACTTTTTCTTCGTGTGAGTGCATGTGTGTATGTGTGCAGTGTGTGTGTGTGTGTGTGTGTGTGTGTAGTGTATGCCTGTGTGTACGCAGGTACACTCACCCATGTGTGCACATGTGGAGCCCAGAGGTTGATATTGGTGTATCCTATCAGTTCTCACTTGCGTTTTTGAGACAGGGTCTTCTACTGCCCTGAAACTTGCCAAGTAGGTTAGACTGGGTGGCCATCGAGGCCCCAGCCTCTGCCCATCTCCACACCGAGTGCTTCAGTTACAGGCATGTGGCCCTGCGCTGGGCTCCTGAGGGCATGCTCGGGATCCTAACTCGGGTCCTACACTGGGCTTCTGAGGGCATGCTCGGGATCCTAACTCGGGTCCTACACTGGGCTTCTGAGGGCATGCTTGGGATTCTAACTCGGGCCCTGCGCCTGTCTCCTGAGGGCATGCTCAGTATCCTAACTCGGGTCCTACACTGGGCTTCTGAGGGCATGCTCGGGATCCCAACTCAGGTCCTCACGATTTGCCTACTGAGCCGTCTCCCCAGCCCATTCCAAACAATTTCTCTCAAACATTTGAAGCTGCAGATTTGAACAGACTGTAAACATGTTTGTTCCCTCCACCCCCTCCACATTCCAATCGAGATTTTAACACTTCTTCAGATGCATTCTGTTCATAACATAATTACAGAATGACAGTGCTTTTGAACACAATATTTCTGTCACGAAAAGAAATTATTTTCTACTATGGGCTTAGTGCCGCATTTCTTAGGTTAATAACACTTTAAGTATAAAATATAACTTTAAATAATGCTGTTCTCTGGGTTTTTCTTATGTATTACTTTAAGGGTACAGAAATCAAGATTTTTTTCCCCCATTTTTAAGCACTTGCTAGCTGCCAAAGGAAGAATGATTAGAAGTAAAATTAGTGTTAATATTGTTCCATTGTGAAAATAATGGAAAGCTCAAAATGACATTTCAGGTGTGCCAGTCTCTGGCTTCAGAAGCCAGGTTCCCGCCTGGGACTGTGTTTGGAAGTCTGTCAAATGGAGCCTGAGTGTGTTTGTACGTGTATGTGTTTATCTGTAGTTTTTTCATGTAGGTAAAAAGAATTCATTTTGAGTACTTTCTATATTAAGATTATTATTATGCTTGTTTTTTTTTAAGTGTTTATGTCTCTGAGTATATGTCAACTGTGGGTGCTCTCAGAACCCAGATGAGGGTGTTGGACACATACCCTAGAGCTGGAGTTACAGGCAGCTGGTTGTGAGCCTTCTCACATGAGTGCTGGGAACCAAGCTTGAGTCCTCTGGGGGAGCAGTGAGTGCTTTTAATCATTGAGCCATTTATCCAGCCCTTATTATTATTATTTTTTTAAATGTAAGCCTGGTTTCAGATCTTTTATTGAGAGTTTGTCTTTTAAATGAGCATCTCACCATCTTCATCTTTATTTATTTATTTAAAGTAAGTTTAGCACTACCCAAACTTGGATCTGTCACTTGAGCGTGGTGACTTCCACCTGTCACTGTGTTACTATTTTAAATGTCCTCTTCCTATTG